TGGAGGAAGGGAGAGAGTGAAAGAGGGGGAGGAGGATGATGACGAGGATGGGGCCGCAGCCAGAATTGGCTCATGCTCGGCAGTATAAAAACGAAGGAGGAGGAGCAGGAAGAGGAGGAAGAGGAGGAGGAGGATGAGGACAAGAACCAGAACGAGCGTTCACGATAAATACGACTATCTGAACCTCTCTGCTTGCTCATCCCAGCGTCCTTGATCCCTTCTTCTTTCTGATTTTTCCTTCGCTTCTTGTCGTCGTCGTTCTCCTCCTCCTCCTCCTCCTGTCCTCGTCCTCCTTCGTCCTTTTCCTCATCCCTCCTCCCCCCCTCGCCTGCAAACGTTCCCGCACACCTCCGAAAACCATAAAAAAATATCAAAGATCAGCTCCTCCAGAGCCCCAACAGGGTCAGAAAAGGGTGCACGAACGACAGGAAACCTCGATGCTCGATGCTCAAACTTCGAACCTCAGTCCTCGATCCTTCCTGCTCCCCCTCTGGAGAAGGAGGAAGGGACGCCAGGTCCAGGAAGTATGCTGGCGAATTCTGGTACAGCGGCTCGAAGCACACGGCGCACTCCGAGGCCCTCCCCCGGCATCCGGCGGGAGAGGAGGATACAGAGACATTCTTTCTGGTTGCATGCCTGGTTGTAAGTGAAAGGCCCTCAAGCCCCACCAGGGATGGCGAGGTCCCGTTTGGGTCTGCGTGTGGCCCCACTGTGCGGGCTCCCCCAGCAGCCCTCGAAAGTGGCGACGGTTTCACACGTCGCGGCCCCCCCATAGGGATGCGAGAGGAGAGAGCCGAGAGGAGAGCAGGGGGTGCTAGGAGGAGGATGATGATGAGGAGGAAGAGGAGGTGGAGATCCCACTTCAGAACGAGAACCCAACCAAGGGAGGGTTGGGAAAACAGAGAGGGAGAACAAGAGGGAAAGAGATAGAGAGCGCCCAGCCGACGCCCAGACCAAAACCAATTATCGCCCTCGATCGTCCTGGATCTGGCGCGCTGCTGTGCCCGAGCCCGAAAGCAATGTTGGGCTTGCGCCGCAGCGCTTTCTGTCACCAGTGAAACATGAAGAATACCCCTCCTCCTCCTCCTCCTCCTCCTCCTCCTCGTCCTTCTCCTCCTCCTCCTCCTCCTCCTCCGTCACCCTCGACAGTTTTCACGGGTGACGTCCTCGGAAACCTGTAGGTCTCGCGGCGCGGAGCGGACCCCGTGTATATATATATATATATATATATATATATATATGTATATATACATCGGACATGGGAGGTGGCGCCGAGGCACGATTCGGCCGAGTATCGAGATTACAATGTTTGAACAATGGCGTGCGCTTCGAGTTTCAATCACAGGCAATAAAGCTGGCAATAAGACTGCGAGCTCTCTTCCGCATCCTTCCTCCCAGCCCCATGTTTTCTCTTCCTCCCGACCAGAATTTGCGGGCGTCTCCTGCTTCACAAAATTGAAGAAATACAGCGAGAAAGTATGCCAACTCTCGCGGTCCGGGCGTCTCGCCTGAGACTTCCACACCGCTTACGGCCCTGAAGCTGAAACGTTGGCGACAGTTTCACAGATGGAGGGCGGCCCGTCTTCAAAATGTGGCTATGGCCTCAGCGCCGCGCACATTCGGTGTCAAAGTTGCAAGGGTTTCGCGGATTCCAAAAGTCAGCGTACTGCGTCAGACTTGGCACTCTGGACAGATTCAGGGTTTTGAGGGCCCATCAGTTACACGTATTCGCAGTGTAGAAATCCCAGGAATGGCGTTCTGCTGAGATTCTGGATCGCCAAGACGCAATAGTCAGGTTGACCCGTGGCGCTGGAGTCCCGAGAACAATTTTATGACATGCTTCTGGGTCTTTAAACGGTTGTTTTCCAACGAGGCAGTTCCCTGTGGAAGTGAATCCTCGTAGGGGCCTATGAAGTTGGAACTTGGAGGGATGGTTTATTCCAACATCGTTGATGACTCTTGGGTTTACACTAGTCATGCTCCTCCTTATCCTCGCTCCCCCCCCCCCCAGCGCGACCGAACCAAATTCCAAAACTGGCGGGCCGTCTCCGGCTTCGAAGCTTGAGGAGACCTGGCGATGCGACTGCGGGCCACCGTGGCCCCTCCTCTCTTCCTCTCCCAGCCCAGAAGACACCATCCTCGGGGCAGTCTGCGAGCGCTTCCGGCCCCAGGGCCCCAGCAACAGGTTGAGGTGACGCCTGCGTGCCCGTCTCCACCCCTCCTGCGCTGTGCCCCAGGCCCGCTCCATGTTTTCACGTTCTGTCAACGTTCGGGGTGTCTTGAGACGTACTATATCACGTTGTTCAACTTTCAAGCGTCGGGCGAACGGTACAATCGGACCGAAAACGTGGTAACATCCTTCAAGGACATGAGCCCTCCGCCGGCCAAAACACACAGAACATCCAAGGGTGCCCTCCAGAGGATGCACAAGAGCATCCAGCGAACACGAAGACCACTAGGCCACCCTTCCCGAACCGACCGCGATCTTATACCTCGGTCCGTATGTATGTTGCCATGTGTATTCGGCGCTCGGGCGCCGCTGGACAGCTCGGTTCCGCTTCAGAGGGCCTATGATTAAGCAAGCGAGCCCCCACCCATTTCCTGGAGAGGCCACTCTGCTTTTCACGTGTTCTTATCGGCGGCGAGCGAGGGGGGGAAGCGAGAAGGAGAAGGCCTCCTCAGAAGGCGGCGGGACTTCTCAGAGGCCCGCGCGCCTTCGGAAAAGCTGCCTGTGTCTTCAGGGAAGGCTCGGAACACTTCTCAGAAGGCCGGGGGACGTCCGAGCCTTCTGAGAAGGCCCGCCCCTTCTCATTGCCTCCCCCCGTGCGTGCAGGCTGCCGATCCCAACTTGTTTGACCTAGAAAGAGAAACGTTAGACACCGAAAGAAACTTTTGGCGCTCCGCGCGGATTTCTTAGGTCTGCGCGGAGCGCGTCAGGGGCGGCGCTGGAGGCGCCGCCAGAGGGGGTCCCAGCGCGGATCCGAGAAATCCGCGCGGAGCGCCAACAGTTTCTGTTCATAGCGTTTTCTCTCCTTCGAAGTTCGTGAACTGTTCAAGCTGCTGAACATTTCGGGGGCTGCCAACGGTCGGATGCCGTCCTGAGCGTCCCTGGCCCAGGGTGGAACGCAACTTTCCCAAAGGACCCCGTCGTGCTTCTTCCTCGAGGCCGGCGTGTCTGGGCATAGAAGAAGAGGAATAACAATACGAAAAAGAGCGGTAACAATATTACTACGACTATTACTACTACTAAACATAATACAGTAATACTAGGAATGGCAGTGCTAAGGTACTAATAACACGAATAGAAGTAACATATTAACGTTACACTACGATCAAGAAGCGGAATACTAAACCGAAAACTAATACTTGTAAACACGAATAATAAAACGAACACTAATAATGATAATAATAACTATCCCAGTGCGACCCTACCTAGGAGTTGGAGCCCCTAGGAAAGCAGCATTAGTAGTAACAGTACAGCTGAGCTAAAGCTAAGCTAAAGCTAAGCTGAAGCTAAGCTAAAGCTAAGCTAAAGCTAAGCTAAAGCTAACACTAAGCTAAGTTAAGCTAAAGCTAAACTGAAGCTAAGCTCTGGGCTAACGCTAAGCTAAAGCTAAGCTAACGCTAAAGCTAAGCTAAAGCTAAGCTAAAGCTAAGCTAAAGCTAAGCTGAAGCTAAGCTGAAGCTAAGCTGAAGCTAAGCAAAAGCTAAGCTAAATCTAAGCTAAGGCTAAGCTAAAGCTAAGCTGAAGCAAAGCTAAAGCTAAGCTAAAGCTAAGCTGAAGCTAAGCTACAGCTAAGCGAAAGCTAAGCTAAAGCTAAGCTAAAGCTAAGCTAAAGCTAAGCTCAAGCTAAGCTCAAGCTAAGCTAACGCTAAGCTAAAGCTAAGCTAAAGCTAAGCTAAAGCTAAGGTAACACTGAGCTAAAGCTAAGCTAACACTAAGCTGAGGCTAAGCTAAAGCTAAGCTAAAGCTGAGCTAACGTTAAGCTAAAGCTAAACTAAAGCTAAGCTAACGCTAAGCTAAAGCTAAGCTAAAGCTAAGCTAAGGCTAAGCTAGCACTAAGCTAACGCTAAGCTAAAGCTAAGCTGAAACTAAACTAAAGCTAAGCTAAAGCTAATATGAAGCTAAGTTAAAGCTAAGCTACAGCTAAATCTACAGCTAGGCTGAAGCTAAGCTAAAGCTAAGCTGAAGCTAAGCTGAAGCTAAAGCTAAAGCTAAGCTATAAGGCTAAGCTAAAGCTAAGCTGAAGCTAAGCTAAAGCTAAGCTGAAGCTAAGCTAACTTTAAGCTAAAGCTAAGCTACATCTAAGCTAACACTACGCTAAAGCTAAGCTAAATCTAAGCTAAAGCTAAGCTAACACTAAGCTAACACTAAGCTAAAGCTAAACTAAAGCTAAGCTAACGCTAAGCTAAAGCTAAGCTAAAGCCAAGCTAAAGCTAAGCTAAAGCTAAGCTGAAGCTAAGCTGAAGCTAAGCGAAAGCTAAGCTAACGCTAAGCTAAAGCTAAACTAACACTAAGCTAAAGCTAAGCTAAAGCTAAACTAACACTAAGCTAAAGCTAAAGCTAAAGCTAAAGCTAAAGCTAAGCTAAAGCTAAAGCTAAGGCTAAAGCTCCCAGGGGACTGGGGGAACCGCGGGGCGGGGACTGGGGGAACCGCCCGGGGCGGTTTCCATTGCCCAGCCCCTTTAGCTAACAGAGTAAGAACCCTTCTAGGCAGAGCCTAGGTAGGGAATAATTAAACAACGGCATACACATAAATGTTTGGCGCTCCGCGCGGAGCGCCCAAAGTTTCTGTTCATGGCGTTGTTTCTTCTTCGATGGGCAGCTCAAACCCAAGCTGGGCACTGCGGCCGCGCGGGCCGCGAGCGTCGCGCCGGGCCGCCGCGTTTTCCCGCGGCCGCGCCGCGCGCCGCGTCGGCCACGCGCCCGGGCAGCGCCGGGCCGATCTCGGCCCGCCCGCCCGCCCGGGCTCGGAGAAGGGCGCGAGGAGCCAGCGTCAGCTCGCCATCGGTCGGAGGAGGAGGAGGAGGAGGAGGAGGAGAAGGACTAGGAGGAGGAGAAGGACTAGGAGGGGGAGGAGGAGGAGGAAGGAGGAGGAGGAGGAGTGAGGAGGGAGAGGAGGAGGCGGAAGGAGAGGAGGCGGAGGAGGAGGCGGAGGAGGAGGCGGAGGAGGAGGCGGAGGAGGAGGAGGACTGCCGCCAGGCCGCCCTCAGGCCGCCGGCGCCGGCCTGCTCAGCAGGCGGCTGGGCCGGGCCTGGCCGGCCAGCGCGGCGTGCGGGCTGCGCGCGGCCGCCGCGGGAGACGACGCGAGGGCGCCCCTGGGCGCCGCCAGCGGCGGCGAGAGCGCCTCGGGCGCCTGCCTGGCCACAGCGGCGGAGGACGCCCGCCGCGACACCTCGGGGGAGGACGCCGTCGGGGAGACGGTGCGCACCGAGGGGCTGAAGCGGAAGAAGGTCCCCGTCGACGACGACGCCCTCGAGAGCGGGGTCGCGGTCCGCGAGAGCGGCGACACGAGCCCGAGCCCCAGGGAGGCCGGCGCCGCGGTCGTCAGCGCCGTAGAGCCCGACGACGTGGAAGCGGAGGGCCGGTGGTGCCTGACCTGCACGGGAGGCACCCTGGGAGGCGGCGAGCGCGCGCGCTCCTGCAGCACCAGCGGGCGGACCTCCTCCACCCGCTCGCGGTACTGCACGGAGAAGCGCGGCACCGCCCGGGAGACCTCCCGGACCTCGAAGCGGGGTTCCTGGCGCACGGCCTCCGCCTGCTGCACCTGCGGCACCTCGCTGGGGCGCTCGCGCGTGAGCAGGCGCGCCCGGGGCACGATGCGCTGCGAGGCCACGGTCTCCACCTGGGCGGCGAAGAGGCATAGACACCCTACGCCGCGGCTTATGCCTTCTGCGGGCCCCCCAGCGCGGCACGCCACATCGGGAGCGAGGGCGATTACGCGCGACCATACGCGACCTTACGCGGGCAGCTTACGCGTGAATGTCGGCGCAGTCGAACCCGTTGATCAGAGAGAATCACCCCCCCATAATAATCACCCCGACAAGCGAAGCCGTTTAGTAAACGTACCCAGGGAGGAAATCGAACAAGACAGGGCTGTCTGGTAAACGTCCGGGGCTGTTCCCAGACATCCGATATCGTGTTTTTTTCAATGCGGGGTCCTAGGAAGTCTCGACCCATTCCCAAGGACCAGTTTGTCCCTGAGTCGTTGGTTGACGGTCCTAGTGCCCGGCGAGGGCCCCTGGAGGCCAAAAACTTCGAGACACCTCCGCCCTGATTCTTGTCAATGCATTGGATCTCTGGGTTTGGTTAATGCCACTTCTAAGAATCAGGGTGTTTCTTCCTCCCTCCCTTTGACTTCTCTTTTGGACGCCCGAAATGGGTACGGAAAAAATGGGCACAATGCCCAACAACAACTGTTCTCTCAAACCAGCAGCGGCCGCTGTTGGGCAGGCGGCCTCTTTCCTCGAATGGACACAGGCTGCGGCGGCGTGGACAGCGAGTCCTGTTCAAAATGAACGAGATCCGCTGTTGGGCATTGTACCCATTCTTTCCGTACCCATTTCGGGCGTCCAGATCTCTGTGCCCCTCACCCTGGGCACGAACTTGTTCCGGTACGCAACCCTCGGGCAGGAGACCTGCCTCACGAGGTCCACCTCCTGCACGGTGGGCACCTCGACGGGCATCTCGCGCACCTCTGTCAGCGGCACCTCCTGCTCGACCACGGCCGGCTGGATCCTGCAGACCTCCACCTCCTCTCGGCGGCGACCGAGGGGG